GAAGTGCTGCTTCCTCAGCTTCGCAGCACTGCTGGGCCCTCAGCAGCCACGCCTGGAGGTCCAGGGCGTTTGCCGCCCTGCTGCTGCTGCTGCTGCTGCTGCTGCTGCTGCTGCTGCTGTGGGCTGCGTGCTGTTGCTGCTGCTGCTGCAGCTCGTGCTGCAGCGCCCTGTCCGCCCCCTCCAAAAATGAGGCCCGCATCTTCAGACAGCCCACGAGAGCTTGCTGCCGAACTTTGAGTCTTGTCTTTAAGCATCTTTGAACGGAAGGAGATAAATAAATATCTTTTTTAGAAATTTGTTTGAGTTGGAGTTTGCTGCTGCAGGGCTTCTTGCTGCTGCTGCCGCTGCTGCTGCTGCTGCTGTCGCGGCCCCGCCCGCAGCCCGCGGCGCCGGGCGACGCTTCCCGCTTCGCCCAGCTGCTGCTGCTGCGGCTGCTGCTGCTGCTGCTTCTGCTGCTGCAGCCCCGCAGCCGCCGCTGCCACCGCCGCCGCCCCGCTATGCCGCGGCCAAGCGCTTGGGAGAGCCACAGCTCTTCCTGGCAGCAGCAGGGCTGCTGCTGGCAGCAGCAAAGGCTGTTTTCTTCGCTGCTGCTGCTGCTGCTGTCGTTGCTGCTGCGCTGCCGGCTGCTGCGCTGGCCTCGCACGCGCCCCTTTGCTGCTCCTGCCGCTGCTGCTGCTGCTGCTGCTGATGCAGCTTCTCGGGCATTCGCCGGTGTTGCTTCTGCTGCAGTCGCTGCTGCTGCAGCAGGCGTATCGCTGCTGAAAGGAAGCGGACAAGTTGCTGCTGCAGCAGCAGCTGCTGCTGCTGGTCTGGCGTGGCTCACGTCCTCGTTGCTGCAGCTGCCGCCGTAGGCAGCCGCTTGCTGCAGCGGTTCAGAAGCACCAGAGCAGCAGTCGCTGCTGCAGCAGAAGCCTCTGATTCTGCTGCTGCTGCTGCTGCTGCTGCTGGCCTTGTTGCTGTTGCTGTGGCGGCCGCGAAGATGGGCTTCGCTCACTCTCCCTGAGAAGCTGCGCCCGCAAGAAGCTTCCCGATTTTGCTGCTGCTGCTGCTGATGCTGCTGCTGCTGCTGCTCCAGCAAAGCCACGCGCTGCTGCAACAGCCAGTCTTGCTGCTGCTGCTGCAGTATGCGTTCTTGCTGCTCCCTTATGATGCGGCCTTGCTGCCTCAGCATGTCTTTATACTGCAGCACCACGAGCTGCTCTGGCCCTGCCGCTGCTCCTGCTGCTGCTCCTGCTGCTGCTCCTGCTGCTGCAACAGACAAGCCCGAGCAGCAGGAGCAGCAGCCTGACTCACGCGCAGCAAAGGCGGAGCCCGCTGTGGCAGCAGCAGCAGCAGCTGCTGCCGCTGCTGCTCCTTCAGCAGCCAAGGAGCACACCTGCGAGGGCCAGCTCAAAAGTGCAACAGGCTGCTGCTGCTGCTGCTGCGGCTCCGGTTTCTCTTTGGGGCAGCAACCACTACAAGAGCACTGCTGCTGCTGCGTCTGCTGCTGCTGCTCTTGCTGGGCGGCCATCGTGCAAAAACAGCTTTCACAAGGCAGCAGCGGCCGCTGCTGCTGCTGCTGCTGCTGCTGCAGCAAACAGCCGTGGCCCAGGTCAGTTATGAGAGCTTCATGCGTGCCACAGGGATCCTCTTGAGGTAGCATTCCCTGGTGTTGCTGCTGCTGCTGCTGCTGCTGCTGCATGCAGCTGCTGTTGTACGAGCTACTGCAGCAGGACCCAGCCCCGTCAAGGTGCACCGCGATGGGGGCTGAACGGTGCTGCTGCTGCTGCTGTTGCATTGGTTGCCGCTGCTGCAGCAGAACGGGAGACTCCGACGCTGCCCGCACCCGCTGCTGCTGCTGCTGCTGCTGCTGCTGCTGCTGCTGCTGCTGCTGGGGCAAAATGCTGCTGCTGGGGGGGAGAAGCCCCGCAGGCTGCATGCGATGATCTATCCAAGACTGGCAGCGCCGCTGCTGCAGCACCCGCCCCCAAAGAAAAGCAGCTTGCTGCTGCTGCTGTTTCTGCTGCTGCGACTCCGAGACCTGTGCAGCTTCCCGCTGCTGCTGCTGCTGCTGCTGCTGCTGCTGCTGTTGGTCCGAGTCCTGCTGCTGCTGCTGCGGAACTTGCTGCTGCTGCTGCTGTTGCTGCTGCTGCTGCTGCTGCTGCTCTCCCGGGGCCGCAGGCCTTGGGTGCCGCCGCAGCCACGGAGGCCGGCGAGTTTGCTGCGCTGCTGACACAGGGCTGCAGGTGCAAACCTCTGTTTGGAAGCTTTGCTCCTTTCGCTGCTGCTGCTGCTGCTGCTTCTGCTGCTGCTGCTGCTGCAGCAGCTGGATCTGGCGTTGCTGCTGCTCCTGCTGCTGCTCCTGCTGAGCCTGCAGCCGCTGCCGTGGTGACCCTTTGGCCCCATCCAACCCTCGAAGAAACTCACTGCGTTGCTTCATCACAACTTCATGAATGTGCTGCTGCTGCTGCTGCTGCTGCTGGTGCGGCTCTTGGAGCTGCTGCAGAGAGTCGTGCTGCTGCAGCACTCGCTGCTGCTGCTGCTGCTGCAAGAGCGGTTCCACAGCAGGGAGGGATACAATGCTGCTGCTAGAAGTCAGGCAGGGGTAGCTTCTGTTGCTGCTGCTGCTTGCAAGTGTGGCTAAGCTGCTGCAGCTGGCATGCGTCGTGATGCTGCTGCTGCTGCTAAGGGGCCAAAAGGCCTTCTCCGCAGCAGCAGCAGCAGCAGCAGGAAGCACCTGGGCGGTGTGAAGGAGGCAAGGAGCAGCAGGACTCGGCGGCACTCTTCCAGCAGCAGCAGAGACGCCACCTGCTGCTGCTGCTGCAGCACCAGGAGCTTCTGCGTCCTTTCCGAGAGCCACTTGCTGCTGCTGCTGCTGCTGCTGCTGCTGCTCCGTCGCGTGCAGGGCCTCGGGCCCTGCGAGGAGCGAAGGGAGGCCTCTGGCGTATGCGTTCCAGTCCCATGGCTGCTGGTGCTGCTTCTGCAGCAGCAGCTGCTGCTGCAGCTGCTGCTGCTGCTGCTGCTGCTGCTTGGGCGAGGGGGCCCCCGACCACAGGCTGCCGGGGCCCCCCGGAGTCAGCGGCAGCAGCAAAGGACTCGGCGACAGCAAAGAAGACCTCTCGGGCTGCGTGGAAGTGTCGGAGTGTGCGTAGGCTGTTGCTGCTGGGGAGGGGGGCAGCAGCGCGTGCAGCGGGGGGGAGGACTTTGCTGCTGCTGCTGCTGCTGCTGCTGCTGCTGCTGCTGCAGCGGCTTTCGCCGCAGAACGAGGCGTCGCTGCTGCTGCAGACGACCCCGGTAAAGCGCTAGGCGGGCCGTCCGCCTTGGCAAGCGGCGTAAGCACTGTAAGGAGATGCATTGCTGCTGCTGCTGCTGCTGCTGCTGCGGCTGCTGCTGCTGCTGCTGCTTGCCGCAGAGCAGCACTGGCTCGGCCTTACTACGGTAACCGTTGTTACGCCTGGCGATGCGGCTGCTGTCGCCGAAACTGTTGCTGCTGCTGCTGCTGGTGCTGCCAGCATAGAGACGTCGTTTTGGCTTTTCCTGCTGCTGCTGCTGCTGCTGCTGATAAAGCTGCAATGAACTCGCAGGATGAAGCTCGGTGCTGCTGCCTCTTTGGAGAGCAGACCTTGGCTAGCTACTTCGTTATTGGTCACTCTTGCTGCTGCTGCTGCTGCTGCTACTGCTGCTGGGAGCACTGGGGAGGCACCGCAGCAGCAGCAGCTAGCCGGGAAGGGCAGATGAAGTTGGGGCCTTGTTTCGTACGTGGCAGCAATTGCGTTTGTTTCGAATTCATTCACAGGGCGTGCTGCTGCTGCAACAGCAGCAGCTGCTGCTGCTGCTGCTGCTGGCGCTGCTGCTCGGCAGCCCAGAGCACGCGAGCAGCAGCGCGAGCAGCAGCAACAGCAGCCGTGTCAGTGAGGCCCCCCAAAGAAAGCAGCAAGCTTTTCAGGGACTAATTCAAAAAGCAGCAATTAGGGGAAGAGGCAGCAGAAAGACAGGGGCGTGGGAGCCGCGGGAGCTGCGTCTCGTGCACCAGCAGCAGCAGCAGCAGCAGCAGCAGCAGCGCGCCCGCCAGCTGCTCCTGGCCCTCCTGCTGAGGGATCTTGCACATTAAAGTTCAAATAATTCCCAAAACATATGATCCCCATTTAAAAAGGCATTCTTTTGAGTTCAGGGGGGCCCCCAGGGGCCCCCGCGCGCGGCAGCCAGCAGCAGGCCGGCAGCAGCAAGACACTGCGGGTCGGCAGCGGCTCGAGACCAGGTGTACGTACACCGCAGCTTTCCCGCGGGAATTTCGCGCAACTTCTTCTTTCATTACTTATTTAATTCATTTATTTCTGCAACTGGCCTTTTAAATCCCGAAAAGGAGCGCCGGGGGCCGCTTTGGCGGGCCGCGAAGCTGAGCGCGCGACCCCGCTCTGTGCCCCTGAGGTGTACGTACACCTCAGATCGCTGCAGCAATTCATTGCCCGACAATGACTTCATCACTTTATTTCCACTTTTCCGAATTTATAAATTAACTCCCGCCCCCTTTCCTGCCGCGGCCCTCCGCTCCAGCCGCTGCTGCTGCGCCGCCGCCGCTACTGCTGCCGCTGCTGCTGCTGCTGCTGCTGCTGCTGCTGCTGTCTCACGGCGCAGGGCCCCAGGCCTTTCGAACAAGGCTTTCCCGCAAGTAGCGCAGATCCTCTTTCCTTTTATTTTTGCTGCTAAGCAGCAAAAGAATTTAAATTTTAAATAATGTAATTCATTTCTCTCTTTCGTGCTGCGTCCCAGAGCTTCAAGCCCCCAGCCAAAGACAGCCCTGCTGCTGCTGCTGCTGCTGCTGCTCACAGCAGCACACAGGACTGCCGCCCTCAAGTGCTGCGGCTAACCACAGCTAGCCACGGCTAGCCAGAGGGCATCCACCGCTAGCTAGGGCTAGCCACGGCTAGCCACAGCTAGCCACAGCTGGCGGCAGTGAGCCATGGTGGCTGGCCACGGCTAGCCGCAGCTAGCTGCAGCGAGCCACAGCTAGCTGCAGCAGCAGCAGCAAGCCTCAGAAGCTGCAGCACAAAGAAGACAATGCAGCAGCAACCCCACAAACACTGCCGCAAAGCAACCAGGGCCCACACTAACAGCTGCAGGGGCCCCTCAGGGGCCCCTCATTTAGGGGCCCCTCAGGGGCCCCTCA